AGCCCAATCAAGAAAGGGATTGAAACTGACATCAGCACCTCTTCAGCACGCGGGCAGCCGACAGGCCACTGTAGCCTGCACCCACGACGGCCACATCGACCTTTGCGGCAGTTCTCCAACATGCTGCCTCTTGTTCAGCTGACTGAGTCCGCAGTGATATGAGGGCTGCATCTCTGATCAGGCATTAACTGAAAGGAGGCTCCCAAAGAGCCACAACAGTATGTGTCATTTGACACAAAGAACTGCAGAGCGGAGCTCTCAACCCTGAAGCGCTACCTTGGGCAAGCGCATGGCCAAGGCCTTGACCTAGCCCGTAGCTACAAACCTATAGGACTTTGCTCCAGCATTCAAGTGTGCATGGCGTTCGGCAAGATGTAGGACCATGGGACCTCTTAGCATGGAAAGGCCTGCGCTCAACTGCGTGATGCTTCATCTGCAGACAATCAAAACTGCAAGCTGCACCTGTAGGACCACACCCTTTACAGCAGCAGGACTTCTGGAAGCTGATCAGCTAGAAAGTTCTGACTCTTCTGTCGGCATGGAAAACTGACTCCCGTCGCTGCTTGACAACACTATTCCATCCTGCGAAGCTTCACGGATCCCTAACCCTAAGGGTCCATGTACCTAATGATCATATTCTCTCCCAAATACTAACCTACATAACTACTATCCGTAACCCAAGTACATGATTATTGGGTCCTTTGGACCCTTGAATTAACACTGAACTGTGTGCGGGCCTCGAGAACATTCGCCAGGCCCGGGAGCAGGTGCACAGAGAGGATGAAGGAAATCATCGCGGAAGAAAGCTGTGCCATGGCCATGGAAATAAACTGCCGGAGACTCAAACTTAGGGGCTGAGTACCCTAGACTCGAAAAGGTTAACCTTTTCGAATATGGTAGTATTAAACCACTAAGCAAACTTCTTGCGTACTGGCATGGGGGATCTTCTCGAAGGCAATGCTTCTCGACAAGCAGCTTGACAGCTGATGCAAATCATCTTCAATATGAGCAGAGTCGCAGCTGCGTGGGTCGCAAGCGAAAAGTACCAAAAACCTAAGGCTGAGAAGAACCACAGCACCAGCAACAACCTCCACCGGCGCCACCACCACCATCACCAACAACAACAACAACAACAACCACTGCAGAGAGAGCCTACTCCAGCCTGTGCACGGCGTGAAGCCCCATTGAATATCATGAACATCCCAGGCACTCGCGAGTCACAAAGCACCAAATAAGCAGCTGATCCGACCATGCGCAAGACCCGGGACCAAAAGCCTCGACTCGACCGTCCGAAATACTGTTACCCGGCGAGGACTGGCACCCACAAGACTATCAGTGACTATCACATGATGCTGGGACACGTCGCAGAATTGCAGAACTCCGAGCTTCAGCCGACTGTCAACATCGAAACTGCTCAGGAACACCTGGTAAACTAGCACTTTAAAGAGCGATTACCGCTGTCTCTCTCCGAATCTCTGAGCTCCCATTGCGCAGTCCCGGCTCCCAACGGAAACTAGCCTTCGACAGGTTAGCCTCAGGTTCCTCGGCAGAGCTAACCCTAACCCCCCAGGTACCTACTATATAGGGCCTTAGGGGCTCTAGTACCCTATATAGTAGGTACCTGGGGGGTTGGGGTAAACGAACCTTCCCAAAACTGTATGCCAACCTTTGAGCGTGCGGCTCCGTGTACCGCTCCCGGAGCGTCCTAACTGCCACAAGAAGTCATGTGCAACTAGGACTGTTCTGCTACTTCCTGCTACGCTTCTCCGCACCGTCTCAGTCTCCCACCGAAACTGAAGCAACAAAAAAAAGCCCATCTGAGGGCCGATCCTAACTCTGAAATCCCGAGTCTTGAAGCAACCTGTGCCTATCCGGACCTCATCTGAACATTTAGTTTCTCACCCACGTCATCCTAAACCCAGCAAACTTCGCGACCCAAAGCGATCTGGACACAGCGGCTCAAGGTTCTCGAAGGTGGTGGCCAGAACTCTGCCCACATGACCCAGGGCTTTGCCTGTGCAAAACGGGATCGAAGCTACGTTCCTTTGTGCAAGGTCGTGGGTGTAGCGTCTGTGGCTTGTCGAATCTGCGGCTGGTCGCATTTGCAGATGGGGATAAGAAGTCACGACTAGGGACAGCTGTCAACAGGTTCACGTAGCGCGGAGGCCCACGAATGCTGCCAGGGTACGATGTCTGGCCAAATTCAAGGCGAAGGACAGGTTCGCGTCACCGAAAACGACAGCGTCAGTTGTAGGATCAATGATTTCAAGGCCTTACCGGTCCAGCATACAACATGTTCTGGAGTCGGTGTTGACAGTCCTCGGAAAGTTGGTCGGGGTCGCGTCAGCTAAGATCCCCGCGATAGTATCGCCCGAGCACCTGTCCATCTGTCCAGTGTCGACTCGGGTTTCAGGGGCAACGATTCTCTAGCAGGAGCTGTTCCATGCGCCTTTGATCCAGACTGGAAAGCCGGCGCGGCCCCGATGCCAAGCCCTGCAACCGAGGCAGGTGGTCAGTAGCTTGAGCATCCACAGCCAGAAAAGAAAACCCAGGAAAAACAAGTGAAAGCAAAAGCACAAGGCCCTCGACCTCAATTCAGCCGAAGAGTGCCAGGCAGAAGACTTGTCCGAGACCCATGGTGCAAACTGTTTGGGCCATCAGCTGTGAAACAATACGAAGCCATGACAAGCAGCTGCCAAACCAGGAATCGTTCAACCATCATAGTTCCTGAAAATGCCTGCTTCCAGCCGGTCAAACAACACGACGCGCTGTAAAGTTTGTATCGAGGCCTCGCAAAGCCGGTTGGGACTTTGCCTCCTCCATCACTTGTTCGAGCCTGAGAAAACACGTTTCGACCCCATGTTCACGGATACGTTGATGGAAGGCAGTCTAGTGAGTCTAGCGAAAACTGCATTGACGAATCTGATGTCCTGATAGCCTATGGACACTGGTAAAAACACATCGTCAAAGATACATCGGTGTCTTCAAGTAAGCACTGAGGGCACCAAAGATGCGGTCGCAATTTCTCGATACAAACGAAAGTTCGAGCACAGCTGCGTTTTGCTTATCCCTATTTTTGGTCCGCCCTGCCCCCCCTCCCCCCCTGCGAAGTGTTTCAACTGCCATTAACAGCCATGCAAGGTGCATTGCCGCGATACCGACTCCGTCCAACAATCGATTCCATGCTCAGTCCCTTACGGCCGAGTTCCGTCAAAGTGCTGCATGACATAGCGCACGTCCTTCCAAAGCAAAACTTCAATGTTTTTGAAGCCTTCATGGACCTATGATTTGAGCAACTCCGTTGTCCTTGTGGCAGAGGAGACGAAGTCTTACTTCTTGCCTTGGAGTGGAATCTGCCGACGACACCAACAACAAAGGGATCAACAAAATCAGCTAGCGGAGCGGCAAAACTGCATGACAGGTGCAGGCAAAACATCACGTAAACACACGATTACCTGTCTTGTGCTCACCGCTGTCTTTATGACAGTGCTAGCAAGGGAAACCAGTAGCAGCAGTACATCGCCGACGAATACAGTATTCAGTTGGGAGGTGGTGGTAGTGGCAGTGGTCGTGGTGGTACCGGGCAGGGGAAGTGCGAGTCGTCGTTCTTCGTCGTAGCAGGAGTTGCCGTAGTCGCAGTCGCAGAAGAAATAATACAAACAGCAGCAGCGCAGCAGCAGTAGTCGTGGTAGTAGTCGTCGTAGTAGTAGTGGCAGTAGTAGTAGAAAAAGTAGCAGTAGCAGCAGCAGCAGCAGTAGTGGTAGTAGTAGGAGGAGTAGGAGTAGGAGTAGGAGTAGGAGTAGGAGTAGGAGAAGGAGAAGGAGAAGGAGAAGGAGAAGGAGAAGGAGTAGGAGTAGGAGTAGGAGTGTAGTTGTAGTAGTAGTAGTAGTAGTAG